ATATGGCAGTGTTTTATCTGTGTTGATAATTGCTTTGGTTGGAACTTGTTTATTTTTATTACTTGAATGCAATTTTTTGTTCCCCTAATTTGTATTACTTTGTTATTATGTATATTTTCATGTTTGATTTTTTTCTGAATAAAACAATCATAAATTTACATGAGTTTCTTAATCAAAGTGACGGATTATAAATATTATATTATGTATACTAAAAAGCTTTTATAAGAAAAAATATAGATATATTTTTATAAACTTTATATTTTATATAAAAAAAAATATATTAATTAATGCAACTGGAATTTAAATGAAAACTTATCATATAAGTATTAGGACATTGACCCCTTGTAAGATAAATACTTACCTCTTAATGAATCAATCACGTCCATTTATTTTTGTTTCTTTTTCTTTAAATTTACATTATACGTGGACATTTATTACGAAATCCTTTTAAAATAAAATTATATTTAAAACACCAATAAAATCCATTATCGATGATTTATTTTATTTTGGTGGATATAATTGTAAAGCACCTCATATGTGACATTAATAAATATATCCCATAAAGTATAATTTTCATATAAATGCAATTATTATAACTAATATATGCCAAATTTTAATTCGAAAGTACAATGAATGATGAAACAGGACAAAAATCGATACAATTCAAAGGTACGATTCCATTAATATTAAAGGAAATGACCCATACTGAAATTACGATAATGGGATTAATCCAAAGATCGATAACTTTAAACTTCATAGGGTAGATGGACACTGGGCTTATGAGGGATGGGCATATTGCAGTTATTCTAATTTACAATAAAATATTACAAATAATATTTTTTTTAAGGAACGTCAATCAATATATATTTTGTTTGAAGTTTTTATTTTTTATGAAAATATTCATTATGTGGAGAGTTGGAAAAATAAAATTCTTATATTATTATGAAGTCTTTTTTTAATTATTCGGTGTTTGCATAAGTAGTAACTTTGTGTAGTAATTTAAGTAATATTTATAACAAAAAAATTATTTAAAATAAAAGTTTTTTTCCAGAGTTTTTGGAGAAAATGAATAAGGTAGTGAATATTTGGAATTAATAAATTTGGATAGCATTTTATCTCTCGATGACCCAAATAATCCTACTATTAGCCTATCAAGACATCAACGTTGTTACCATAATCTGAATCTTATTGCAACCACAGATGCAGAGAAGGCAGAAAATGATATCAATTATAAGCGAATATCGAGATCAACATTTGTCAAATGTTTTGTTTTAATTAACAAACATAATATATCTCCTAAAATGGCTAATATTCTATTGGAAAAATTTGGTGGATATCTTATAGCTCTCCAACAACCCGATGGAACTCCTACTTCCAGTCAATGAAATTAATGGACAAGATGCTCAGGGTTATCAGAAGTAGAGGTTTGTGATCAAATTGGGTTCACAATGTTTAGTCAAGAGGAATGTTTCTTTATCAAAGAATAAGCAACAGTAATACAATATTTTTATTTAAATAACGAAAATTTAAATATTAAGGTTATGTAACTCTTGACAACATAAGATCTTGGAATGGGAGAATAATATGGATCAAGAATATTTAACCCCAGTTCTAACCATAAATTAAGGAAATTTAGCTGCTTGCAGTATTGTCAGCCCCTTGTAGAGTGTGTTCTTAGGGGTATCGATAAAAGGTAATAAATTTTTATGCAATTATTATATATTAATCATATCTGAATAGAGTAAAGGATATTGTTGAAATATTAACAAATATCAAAGAGAATGTGGATGAAAAATTTTATGAAATATATAAATGTAAAGAAGAATACTAATATGTTTGGAATTGAAATTTTTAAACCAATGTTAGTTTCTAGACAATCTAATCGCTCAAATATCGATGCATCTGTAATTAAGGATTTTTATAAAATAAACATTTTTATTCCCCTTATTGATACATTTTTATTTCAATTAAAGTAAATATTTATTAGTCATAATTTTATTTTAAAAAGCTTTTATTTTCTTTAGCCGGTTAAGTCTAAACTGTTGATTCGGTTACTTTGTGATGTAGGATTTTGGTATAAAAATCTTGACAGAATAGAATATTCTTTGAGACCAAAAAATACTCTGCAAGCTCTTTCAATCTGTAATTGCACTTTAGATTCCCTGCCTAATATCAAAACATTATTAATTATTTTAGCTACCTTATCAATTAGTATCTGAATACCACCGGTGAAAAACGTTTAAATGAATTAGCCCTAATAAAATTTATAAGAAGATTATTCTATATAAAATTTGATTCTAGATGCATTAGCAAAATCTCAGAGAAAAGTAGACCTTTCTTTATAAATTATCAAAAAATGTAATATGATTATATTAGTTTTAATATACAATATTTATAATCAAATTTTTTCGTAAAATTAGTTATAACATTTATATAATTTTTGTATTAAATCTTAAAATTTAGTTAATTATATTTTTAATCAAGTAGTGAGTGTGTAATATTTATATTTTAGTAATATCGTCATATTTTTTTAAATACCATTATTTGAATAATTAGTTATAGTTTTTAACAATAAAATTTTTAATTAATCTGTACAAAATATCTATCTATTTTAAATAATAAAAATAAATACATGATTAAATAAAGGTATGCTAAAGTATTTTTATATAATAAATAAAATAATGAAATACTCTCTAAAATTTTATTATATGCAAATTTTTAAAATAATTTCAACATATAAGATATAAGCAATTGAGTGTTCATAAAAATTGGGAGGTTTGGGAGGCAGTCCCCTAAAAATTTTTTAACCCCTTCCCTGGCTACACCACGGATATTAATAGATATAAGAGATTAGCAAAATTTATTAAAAAATTGCAATGATCTTGGCAAATTTAGTAAAATATTTTTAACAGACCAGACCTACTAAACATCTGCTATCTGGTAAATTTTGGGACAGCATAGGAATTAAAAGTTTAATAAATTTTTTGAATTAAGCTAATATTTTGATAAATATTCTTTGAATAAAATTACAGTGCTCATTTCTTTGTATATTAAGTCTAAATATAATATTAAATTTAATCAATATTTATGATATGACCCAAATATAAATAACATACAGATAATGGGCCAGGCCTGACTGTACAATAAGAATGGGCTAAGTTTTGTAAATACCTGAATTATTTGAATGAATACTTATTTAATAATAAATTAATTATCATTTCTTAATATAGACCTTCACTGTATGATGATAATAACATTAGAAGCAATAATTCACCAAAAATTTATGCTAAATTGGCCATATTAATCTGCCCCAAAATCTGTTAGTAAAATTGCACACTTGAAAAATCTGCAGGATCCACCAGGCCGAGGATAGGTTTAACCTAGTTGCAAATATAATTGGTACTACTGACAATCTTTTGCGATTGCAATTTAGACGCGATAAATACTAAATACAGTAAATATCATATCGCATTCATAGTTACCGATCGCGCGATTTGAATCGCGAAAGCAAATCGCCGCGATTTTTTGAAAACACAAATCATTTTGTATTTATCGCGAGATTTTGAAATAGTGCTTCGTTAAATACAGATTTTGGTGAATATAGCTCAAAATTTTTGATTTTGCGCTACTTTTAAATTTAGCGAATTTTTTATTAATTGAAATGAATTCAAAGACAACCTTTTTGATGATATAAAACCAAAGGATCAAGTTAAAATTATGATTTAAATTTAATTTTTTTTTAGAAAATAGATAAAATAGTTTTTATTCTTTCTCTTAAAGAGTACGAATGTTTATATAATAAGCATAATCATTTGTATAAAAGTGTTATATACAAGAATAAAATCTGGGAATTATTCAAGTAGTATAATATGTCTGGTAATAATTTTGCATACATATTATATTTATAAATTTTTTTAGGTTCATCTCTCTGGAAAAATCTGAGAGATTGTTTTATAGAGAGACAAAAGCTAAAAAGACTGAAAAGTGGGTCAGAGGTCACATATCATATCCATTCTATCAGGATATGCTATTCCTGGTAGAAACCTTAACACCTAGATCACAGAAATCCTCATTAGATATAGAGGAATGTACTACTAAAGATGCAAATGATATATTTAATGAAATAACAGGGTGTATACATGAATGTAAAATATCGCATTTTAATTGATAAAATATATTTATTATTTAGGTGATCTCATTGATAGTGAGAATATATCAGATGATATATTTATTCCCAACGTTCTGCAGCATTAAATCTTAGTAATAATTCTGGTAATTAATAATATCTAAAAATTTATATAGAATCTATGTCCTGTGTTGGGTCACCTAGTTTTTATTATAAATGTCCTAAGTGAAAGAACAATGATATGGGTAATTTATAATTTATTGATAAATTTTAAAAAGATGACTATAGGAAATTAATGAAAATAGAAGCAGATAAAGCATTAATAACCTTGGAAATGCTTAAAAATAAATCAACAGAACATGCAATATGTTTAATGTTATAAGAAAAATTATATGATTGTACCAAAGAGGAAGAAAAAGAAATAACAAATAAAATGATATTATAAAAGATTATTGATTAAAATTATTTTGTATATATTTTTGTTATTTGAAATATATATTTTGTATGTATTTATATTATTTGAAATAAACATTTTGTGAAATACTTAAATGATATAATTATTCCCAAAAGTCCTGCATTAATTAAGCATTATACTGAGTTTGGTAATAAATAATGTCTAAATATATATAATTTATAATGAATGATCTTTATCTTAGAGAAAGTTTAATGACATTGGTAATTTATGTTAACTTGCTTTATAAAAATATTTTCAATAGATGAATTTAGAACAACTGTATAGCTTTTTTAGTGACATATTCCTACATATATATTTTATGAGTTTAGACTATATTAATAATAACTTTATTTTTATTATAATATATATAAAATACAAAACAAGATATTTGTAAAAATTAGATGATTGTACCAATCAGGGGAAAAAAAGAAATAACAACTATAATACTTGATATTATAAAAGATTATTGATTAAAATTATTTTGAATATATTTGTTATTTGAAACTATATTAATAATAACTTTTTTTTATTATAATTATAAAATACAAAAAAAGATATTTATATAACATACAAAATAAGATATGATTTAATTTATAAAAATCTATAATATAGGATTTTTATATAAATATAAGCATAATCATGGAATGAATCAGAATAGCAGTGTTGATTCGTATTGTGCTGCATGATATACTTTTTTTTTGTGTTTTGATGTTTTGTTGCGTGACTTTTTGCTTAAGCTTAAAATTTGTATCCTCAATTTAACAAGCTGATTGCATATATACTTTATATATAAATATTACCTTATGATTCCTTCACATTTTAGAAAATATGATAGTTATAATACTACTATGTATTACAAATGCACCAAGCCATCATGTGTGGGTAAAGGGATATTTAAAAACAATATCTTTCATATATCCAAACAATGCACTGGTATATTTTTTGTTAATCTTATATAAAATAATCATATTATAGCTCTTGCCTGCTTAGAAAGTTTATCTAAATTATTTTCTCCAGCATCATTTGAGACCATAACCAACCCAGGTAAATTATAGAATGTATTACTATTATGCTATCTTGTTAACCTGGAAATTTTCTTCTTAGAATATATTACTAATGCTATCTTGTTAACCTGGAAATTTTTTTCTTAGCATCAATTGATATAATCCATTCAGGAACTCCAACTAATCAAGGTAAATTAATCTTAGCATCACTTGATATAATCTATTCAAAAACCCAACCAACCAAAGTAAATTTTAAATATGCTATCTTGTTAACCTGGAAATTTTAATCTTAGCATCACTTGATATAATCCATTCAGAAACCCAACCAACCAAAGTAAATTTAAAATATGCTATCTTGTTAACCTGAAAATTTTAATCTAGCATCACTTGATATAATCCATTCAGGAACTCCAACTAATCAAGGTACGTGATACGTGATAAAAGCGTTTTCGCCCTCTGGTTGTGGATACAACAGAGCTACGCTAGGTTTTCCTCAAAATCCATCAAACTGGATAGTTAATTTAGGGGAGAAAAAAAATGAGGAGCCCTTCACACGTTTGTGGGCAAGCCGCACGTACTTGTACGCGCAACAGTCCGAGAACTGTCGCTTAAACGTCTATAGGCTAATCAACAAAAGAAATGGGCAAAAACAAAAGCCTATACCCATGAACTGCCAAAATAATTTAATTACTTTAAGGGTGGGTGGTGGCTAATTTTAAGTTTAACATCTAATGTAAGCCTTGATAGTTACTTAGAACTAATTGAGAATATGTTCATATCCATTGAGATTAGAAATTATTCATGAAAATAAGGAAAAGCTAAAATGGGTTTACCACAAATTGTTTAAAAGGTGAAAATTCCAGTGAATAGGCAAAAACTAGTCAGTAATCGGTTTATGACTATCCAGCAACGAACACCACACAACAAACGGTTATTTTTTCCTTTTTCCAGAGAAACAAAAATACTCTATGGAGTGATAGATAGATTATATAGCGAAAAAGGTCTTTGATAGTGATAACGATATGAGAGAAAGGAAACTATGACGCAGAAATAGGAACCAGCTCCGTAAGTTTTAGGAAAAGTTTAAGGAAAATGGAAAAGTAATTGTTGGCCAGGATTAAACAAAAGGCATTTTGGCTTGATTGTTATATGATAGTCTATCATTCACGGAAAGACTCTACCAACAAAACATATTTACAAACCTCGCCACCCCCCTGTCGACTGGTTTCTCCATAAATGAAATAACAAGTGAACAAAGACTTAGAAAAAAACACTAAGAAAAAGCAAAAGCTCCAGGGCCAGATAATATCACAGCAGAAAATCCAAAAAATAACTAGCATCTATAACAATATCGCTACCTATTTGCCCTCATTTAAATAGAAAATATGGGAGAGCGGAACTACTGCAGTGGGATGGATCAAAAATCCTACCTAAGTAACTACCCAAAAACTAAGACCACAGAAATTTAAGGCTTATTGAGCTATAGCCATCACATCCTATAGCATGGAAAAAAGCATATCACCCACACCAAAAATACATAAGTATATACAGGCCAAGAAAAGAAAATACTGGATCCAAAAATTAATTTTGAAAAAAATAATCATGCAGAAAAACTAAGTACAAAACCCTCTTCTGCTTTACATTTGTGAATTATAACAGAGCTATTGATAATGTTAACCATGCAGTTTTTTCAGAAAATAAGATAAATAAAAGCTGAAGTCAGTGGAGTAAGTAATTCACAGAAAAGGTGAAAGACAAAATCAAGAGGTAAAATTGAGAGATGAAGAAATTAAATAACCTGAAAAATACAGAAAAAATTATGAGAGGTTTAGGTAATTCGATTTAATTTTTAGTAGTTTTTTTATAGATTTTTTGTTTTTATTTAGCCTTAGGAATTGCATCAAATTTAAGTTTAGATCCATTATGTCCTTCAAGGCTCTGTAGAACCATAATGTCTTATATTTGCAATATGTTTTCCCATTAAAGGAGTATAACCAATTAATGGCATCAATAACAAGGCTATTGTTGCTATGATTTCTTAAAATATGGGCAAAGAAAGTAAGACGTTTCTTTTTTAAAGATACGTGAACCTGGGTATGGTTAGACTTCTTCCAAAGATTTTCATTTGAGATAATATTTGGGTAGAAGATTCCATTTATTATTCTAAGGCATTTATTTACAAACGTTTGTAATTTCCTAGTTTCGGTCTTGGTAATCTCCTATCAAAACTATGCCGTCAGCATAAGATATCACCCTATTTTCCAAGAAAAAAGACTGACTGGAACTTAATTCTAAGAGATTCGCAGTAGCCAGCGTATCTACTATGATTTTATTCATAAGTATATTAAACAAAAGCGGGGAAAGAACACATCCTTGTTTTACCCCTTTTTTTGTCCTAAAAGATGGAGAAACCTTTTTATTGATTTTTAAGGAGGCAAAAAGACTACTATAATGTGTTTTAAGGATCCTTATAATATTAGAGTCAATGCCACATTCGGTTAAAATCTTCCAAAGCGCATCATGGTTAACATTATCAAAAGCACGTTTAAAGTCGATAAAAATAAAGTAAAAAGGTAATTTATACTTCTGACATTTCTGCATTATAATCTTTAAAGCTAATATTGGTTCGTTTATATTTCTACCTGGACGGTAAGCACAAATGTATTTAGACAAAAGGTTTGGTGTAGAGGAAAGAATGCGATTTTTTAAAAGAACCATAAAGACTTTTGATGCAATAGACGTGAGAGCGATGGCTCTATAATCCTTGAATTTAGATGGATTTGGAATTTTCGGGAAGTTGCAAAAGATAGTCTTATTCCAATCCGCTGGCATCATCCCAGTCAACCATATCTTGTTAAACAAAGGAAGTAAGAACCGAGAGATCGTTAAGGGAGCTGCTTTCAGATGTTCTCCTGTAATGTTATCTGTACCCGGAGATTTATTATTCCTAAGCTTCTTAATAGCGGCCACAATTTCCGCCGATGAAAAGTTTGCGTCCAATTGTCCAGCATTTTGACTAGTGGATGGGATTAAGGTAGGCCTCCTAGAATCAAAGACTCCCATATAGTGGTCAAGCCATAACGCTATCTGTTCGTCGGGGTCAGTAATTAACCTATTATTATCCAGTCTTATAGTTGGAAGTGTCTTGAACACTTTGGCTTTACAAAAATAATTTAGTTTCTTGTAGGCGTCGAAAGTTCTATTTTCCCTCATATCCCTGTCTATCTCAAAAGCCTTTTTAGCAATGAAGATCCTTCTATCTCTCCTTAGGAGTCTATGAATTGAGATCCATAATTGACCATCGCGCTCACCTCGTAACTTGAGTTGAGCTATCATACGAATGGTGTCCTCGGATAGCCATTCCTGTCTTGGTGGAGAAATGTTGATGTTAGGGAGATGGTTGTAGGCATCAAACAAGTTGTTTTTGAAAGACGCCCAACATTCTTCGACAGATTGAGACTCCGACGAGGATAAGAAAGTTGCCTCCCTATCATTTAAGAATAGATCGAGCTGTAGTTTGACTGCAGGGCGTTGCAGGTGTGTTGCATTTCTCTTCCAGGACAGGTATCTCGGCTGGGGTTGAAGAGAAGGACGCCAAGAGTTTCCCCATAAATTTTTCACAGTAATACTGGCTCTGATTAATTTATGATCAGAAATATTAATATTTGGCATTACTTTTACATCGATAAACCAACTATGGATGTTCGAGATGATAAAATCAATCTGAGACTTGATATTATTTCTACTGAAGGTTAGGGTATTTAATTCACTGTGTGAAAAGAAAGTATTTTCGACCTTGAGGTTTATACTCCTGCACATCTCCAATAACTTTCTGCTGTCATCACTGTTTAATTGAGAGAGAGTTGCATTCCCAATTTCCCCATCTCTAATAAAGGAGTCATCTTTTCCGATCCTAGTATTTAAATCCCCAAGGATTATCAAATTACGACTCCTAGGAAGAGAGTTTACAATGTTTTCGAGGTTATCAAGGAATGCGAGCCGTTCGTTTCTTCTAGGCGGGGCATAGACATTAACTAAGATTGTTTGCCTGAAGCAGGTATTCAGGTATAGTAAACAGCATCTCTCCGAAATGGGCACAAATTTATCCACGTATTTGCATAATCTTTTGCTGATAAAGAAAGCAACCCCCGACCAATTATTGGAAGTGGTGCCAGAACTATACATTTCAAAGTTATTAAAGGTAGCCATATTATTATCTTTTGAGTGGGTCTCCTGTATCGCGATCACATCCATTTTTTCGTCGACCATGAGCCTTAGAAAAATGGTTAATTTATTCATTAAACCATTTATATTTAGCGAGGACATGATAAAATTTCCTTTCAAACCACTCGGGCGCTATCAGATAAAAGGATATACGTATACAAATATATGTATAATATGATTTATTACAAGTGGTTATACTATAGATATTATTTCTTACAGTTTTGTTTAAAAGAAAAAGGAAAAAAATTGACAAGGATGTTTGTAGGCTTTAAACCAACTCGGAAGAGAAAGAGTAGAAACAAAGTGAGGTAATTCAAAAGCAATGCCAAAACAAGGGGGTGGAAAGTAATTTTGGGTTTATCGATTTTAAAAGGATATTGTCTTAATTTCCTAAAAAGGAAGGGAATAGTGTAAAGGAAATTCCTAGGGAAAATTCCGATAGAAGGAAAACATTATGTTAGGAAAGGAATAGTGTAAAGGAAATTTCATGGAATTCCGATGAAAGGAAAACATATGTTACCTAAAGGAGAGCCAATCAAAAATAAAAAAATGAATAAATAAAATTATGAAGGAGTTTCCTGGACTAATTTAATATAAAAAGACCAAAATGTTGGAAGATGAGGTCACCTAAAAACTTAAAGAGAAAAATAAAAACGAAAAAGATAAAGATTGTTTAATACAGAAAAACAAATAAAATTTAAAACTGTATAGAAAAAAATTTACCTCCATATCTCTGTGCACATTTGGAAAACGAGTTGACATGGACATTTATAGAAAAGATTTAAAAATTGAAGGAAAAATAAAATATAGCTAAGCGTATAGAAATAAAAGTAAAACTTTACAAAAAATTTTTTTTATTTAATAGAAGACTATGGAAAAGGAAAAGATTAATAAAAATATATAGGTAAAACAATAATAAGGGGGGGGGGGAAATTCAGGGCGGGATAACCTAATAACTTTACAATAACCAAAAATAAAAATTATATTAAGCTCTAAAATATATAAATACAAAAATAT